CTAAAATTCCATGAAGAGGATATCAGGACATTATTACTTCTGGACAATTCCCCACCTCACCTTTCTGGCAAATCAATAACTAGTGAGGATGGTCGAATAAAATGCATATTCTTTCCTCATAACACTTCAACTTTGATTCAGCCAGTGAACCAAGTTGTAATTTTAAGCTGCAAACTTTATAGGTGGAAACCACTTAAGAGTCTTGTAAATTTTGAAAAAAAAGTGGTAACAAACAAAATAAAAAGTTTCCAAGATTAAAATCCCCAATCCAAAAAGTGAAATTTTTAACTGGGCAAAAAGATGGGAAAAAGTAAAACAAACAACTGTAGCAAATGCGTGGAAAATCTTTTCAAAAATGAACCTGACTGATCTTCAAGGTTTAGAAGTTGGAGATTATAGAGAAATTCTTGAGAAGTGTGAAGAATTAGAAAACAAGCTTCATGATAGGGTATGGTTAAATGGAAATGATGAAAAGGTTTGTCCCACAAAAACAAAAAGCAGGATTACAAAAGAAGATGTCCAAAAAGGAGGAGGAGCTGGAAGGCAGACTGCTCAACTTACATTACCTGTGGTAAGAATTTGGACTACCTTTTTGACTTTGTGGAATCTACACCTGAGTTCCCAAGGTTCCATTTCACATTGAAAAACATGGAATAAGAAAGTCAACAAAAGTTCCAAAGTAAAATCTCAAGTTGATAGCTTTTTGAAATCTAGGCCTCATGATATTAAGGGTACCTTAAATATTCCTTAAACTTCTGATTGCAATAATTAGGTTTTGTGTTTAAACATTTCTGCAGCTATATGATTATATAAAAGGTAGGTCTGTTGAGTTTTCATTGTTTTTATCAACTGACATGATTTTTCATATTTGCTGATAGTTTAAAAGTAATAAATTTGTTTTTTCAAATGCATGAATATATCAGCTTATTTTTTCTACTGAAGACAAAAGATCTGAGTAATGAGGGTATAAGACAAAGATCTGAAAAATGAGGGATTTTCCCAGATCCTAGATTATCTCAGTGGAATGGCTGGCTGTAAGGAAAGTATTAGTTTAAATTCTATCATGTAGTTTAGTAGTAGAGGACATGCCTAGCATGCATGAGAACCAAGGTTCCATCCCCAGTGTGCACATGTGGACACACAACTAATGTATTTACAGCATAAACAAAGCTATATACTAATTATTGTTACATTAAGGAAATAAGGATATATTTGATTTCTTCTCTGTGTGTGTGTGTGTATGTGTGCATGTGCGTGCATGCAGTGGAAACTAGGGATTCACTGAATCAAGGATCTTTGCACTGAGCTACATTCCCAGTTTTTTGTTGGTTTTTTTTTGGAGACAATCTTGCTGGCTTGCCCAGGTTGGGCTTGAATTTACAATCTTCCTATCTCAATCTCCCAGAGTATTGGGGTTACAGGCACTCACCACTATGCCCAGTTTTTAAGGTTACACTTTAACATTACCACCTACATAGTGCATGTTATTCTCTTGTTATGGAAGTAACATGTGCTAATCATTGAAAATCATATAAATACAGTCCTGTTGGCAATGATATAATCTCAGCCCTTTGGTATTTTTTAAATTGGAAACCTAAATAAAATTTTAGACCTTTTTTTTTTTTCTTTTCCAGAACCAGGGATTGAACTCGGGCCCTTGCACTTGCCAGGGAAGCGCTTATTCTACTGAGCCATCTCTCCAGCCCCCTTATTGTCTTAATGTACTTTATACTTTGGATAAGTAAATTGATATCTGTTGACTATATAGGATTGTTTTACATGTGTTTATCCTAATAGTAATTCCCTTTTTGTAGTGGTGGGGATTAATTTAACTCTAGGTCCTTGGGTATAAGACAAACACTGTACCACTGTCTTAGGGGTATTTTTGGGAGGGAGGGGGGTGGTCCGGGGAATTGAACTCAGGACCTTGCACATTCCAGGCCAGCACTTAGTCCACTGAGCTATCTACCCAGCCCTAAGTTTTATGACCCAGAATTTATAGAAAAAAGTTAACATTAAGCCTGCTATATGCTTCCTTGGTTTAAGTGTGTAGCCCCAAGGGCCAGTAACATAGCTCAGCAGACTAAGCACAGGGACCAGGGTTCGATCCCTAGCACCACATGCCCCGCTGGCCCTGCCCCCAGTACACTGAGCCAACCACTGAGACTGGGCATAGTGGTGCACACATATAAGCCCAGCACTGGGGAGGCTGAACACAGGAGGATCACTATGAGTCCGAGCTGCATAGTGAGACCCTGTATCAAATACATTAAAAAACAAAGGGTGCAGCCTAGAGGAAGCTGGGAGATCTGTAACATTCAGAAGCTTGATTTTTTTGTTAAAAATTTGTCTAGAATGAGGGTAGTAATTATCCAAGCTTTTAACCCCCGCCCCTCCTTAGAGACACTTTTCAAGCCAGAGATAGAGTGGATCATGGAACAATCTGAAGATGCTAGTCAGCCTTAGTTTCTTCTAACTGGGGTCTTAGCATCTTTATACCTTTTCAATAGTAGTAAGTTCCTAGGGTAAATGATGGAGAATCAGTTACACCCATTTTCAGAAATACTCATGAGTTCTGGAAACTAGATGTCATTGTTACAATAAGCAGTTTTGGAGACTCAATTAAATAGTAATAGAAACAAAAAACCAGTTGATATATTGAGACTAGTGCTAAAATATAGACAATATTTGAATATTATTAAGTAGCAGGGCAAGTATCTGAAGCCTGGGACATGCCTCAAGGTTTGGGGAGCATGCACACAGGCCCTCATATGTGTATATACACCTGTGGGAAGCTGCAAGATTCTCTGGTTGGTTGCCTTAGGGGCGTCTGCCAGAGAACAGCAGCAGACCGGTGACAGCCAGATCATCAGGGACTCTGGGGGAACCTCCTGATTTTAGAATTGGCCTGGGAAGACAAGCGTATCCTACAATTTTTATCCCTATATATCCCTGCTGCCCTGAGCTGGCCACCATCATCCTTGTCTTGTACATCCCTGTAGTCTCTCCTTCCTCTCTTTTCCCCTTCTCTAGACTCCCCTGCTTAGGTCCCTCATGGGCTTCTTCCAGTATGCCCTACTCTTGCTTTGGGCTTGTCTCCCAGATTATGAGGGTCAGAAGGGGCATCTTGAGCAGTGTAGTTATGATGCTCAGGTCTCCCGTTCTCCACTAAGGTCAGGGCTGAAGGACCCTGCAATTGTGTGGCCACACCAGGAGCTGCTGGCTGCCTGCAGGCAGGCACTTGAGGCTCTGGTGTGGTGCAGGGAGGCCTCTAACAGCCATCCCCCAAGAAGCAGAGGTAAAGAGGGGGCCAGAACACAGCAGCAGTCCTTCAGGACCCTCATCAGTAGGCACAAGCTACAAAGCCAATGGCTGGCTTTTGTTTTGGTAGTCTGAGAAGGGCTGAAGTCTGCTTCTAGAGATGATGCCTGAGGATTGAGTCGTTCTGAGAAATTTAGGCAACCCAATCTTCTCATGGCAGAGGCAGAATACCTAAACTTAAGCTACACCAAGGCAGGACACTTCACCTTGGGAGAAAAGCGGACACGTGTTGTAAGAAGGGGCTTTTCTCCCTAGGGAAAAGGTATGGAAGGTATGGGCTGATAACAGAGCTCCCTATATCTAAAACACACCTCTGGACTGAACAATTCCAGTTGTTTATTCTGTACCTTTTCTGCTTGGAGAAATACTAGCCTACCACTGGAACAAGTTGAACAGCATGAGCTGCTAATTTTTTATTAAATGTTTTAAAGAAAGCCTAGTGATAAATTAAGAGAATTAACATTAACTCAAAGACTTATTTGAATATTATGGTCTGAATACCTTCTTTGCAGGCCCCAAACATGCTGATATTGTAAGTGAAGTATTTTATATGACATCCCATACAAGGCTAAGAATAGCCACACACATTAAGTTTGGAGCTAGAAGCATGGAGCTACATTGGGGACTGGGCCAAGGATCCCATGGGAAAGGCTTTTTTTTTTTAGTCCCTGGACCAAATATCTGAGGGAATCTTCATTTTGCCTTCAGGTTCAAAGCGGGCAATGCTAGCTGGACCACACAAGATCTGCATTTAGTGGTAATACTGGGTAGACAGGAGTTGTGAAGAGATTAATAAACTGGGTAAATTGCTTCCTTCAAAACCCTACCCAGTTCATGCCATCAACAGCCACATTAGGCGTGCTCTGTCCTATCACTGTAGATCCTACATTCATCTTAATTTTCAATACCTTCCCTGCTTGTCAGTCCTCATACTACTCCTGCTCTTCTGTGAACTAAGTTGCTAAGAAAAATGGAAAAAAATTTTAAAAACTGGCTCAGAAAAACTCAGTTTAACCTATAGCAGGAGATAAGACTAAAAAGAAAAAGGACAGAATTGTTTCCATCACTTAAAATTGCTTTATTTTATAGCCTGTTCCTAATGGATAGTTAAGAATAGCTGGTTAGATAACCTTCCTACAGGACTGTATCCTGAAATGTTTTCCTGGCATGACAATTCCATCCCTAGAATATCTCCTGGTCATTCTACGTCCTTCACATAGCTACACAAAATACCTGCTGACTCCTTATTCTAAAATATGCCTTCCTCTAGTAATTTTGCTCTCCCCTTTATCTTCCCACCATTAATGATCAATGACTCAGTTATATCAAGACCATCTTGGCTTCTTTCCTGGAAACCAGGCACAAGACCAAAATAAGATTTTTAAAAGCCTAACTTGCATCAGCTATCTCATAATGTACACTTTCTAAACAAAAAAATCAAAAATATTTTTACTATACAACACAGAGGGAAAGAACAACTTTCAGAGACTTTATACCATCATCCCAAGCAGTCATTCTGCTTCACTTAGCATGGGAGAGGTCCAGCCTAGAGCCCATCAAGCCCACAAACCACCTGAACTTATCTTCAGCCACCTTTTATCAGAACCTTTCTTGACCAACCCAAGTCCAAAAAGAGAAAAAGTTGCTCTGATAAGATAGATCAACCCAGGGGATTAAGACAAAGATTCACATACTTTGTTTCCTGAAGACATTTATTACCATCCAAACATTGTGAACAGGGACAGGCATAATCCCTCATTTCCCTAGGATCCACATTTTCAGTGCTTCCTAGGGATCAATCCTTCCTAGAGATCCATCTTGTTCCACCTGGGAACAAGAGTTCAGAGCTCTGTGCATCATTTTTGGATATGGAAGAAAGCCTCAATCTGTCCAAAGGATAGAATGATTACACACTCATTTCAACTGCCAATTTCTAGACTCACCCACAAGTTTTTCATTAAGTTTCCCTTAGGTCTCCATTTCCTTTTTGTCTGAGGTCACATATCATGTGGCTTGCCAATGGGCACTCTTGCCAGGCCACTGACATGTATTATTGTGACTGACCTGGATGTTCACGGATTCCCAGCCAGAGGGCTGTAACTTATAACTTGTTGACCTCTAGGCTGGTTTCTCAGGAAATCTGGCCCTTCTTTGGTCTCGAGGGCCTTAGGAACCTCAATGCTCCAGTCCCAAGTGAAGAAAGTAAAAGATCACATGAATTCCCAAAATTGTTGGAACATTATATAGTAAGGCACCCAAACTACATATGGGGTACACATATCAAGAAAGTGGGACGGAATGGACTAAATACAAGTGTCCCTGAGCTGGTTTCCTCAAACCTTACAACTGCAAACAACTTCTCTTTAGTTTTACAACAATCATTTGCTGTCTCTGCATTACCCTCAAGATGAGCCCTCATTTCCTCTTGGAAAACAAAGTGGTCATTCGGTCAAAGAATGCAAGCCAGCTCTTGACAACCTTTAAATGCCACCTAACCTAGGACAAAAAGAAATCCCATTATTTCTAACCCGTGTGAGTTCTCTGATGACTCATAAGGCGCGAACTCCGAGAGAAGCTTTCTCCACATTCAGAACACTTATAAGGTCTCTCTCCAGTATGGGTTCTTAGGTGACGAATCCGATTAGAGCTGTGAGAGAAACTATCTCCACATTCATGACAGGTATAGGGTTTTTCTCCTGTGTGAATTCTCTGATGCCTAATTAAGTTGGATCTATGAGAGAAGTTTTCTCCACAAAGGGTACATTTGTATGGTTTCTCTCCTGTGTGCGTTCTCTGATGTCTGGTGAGGTGCATACCCTGCCGGAAGCTTTTCCCACAAGTTGAACATTCAAAGAGTTTCTTCTCTGCTCTGCGAGTTCCTTGGTTTGTAAGAAAGGGGGTACCATTATTTATGGCCACCCCATTCTCCGAGAAGGGGTCAAGTCTCTCTCTCTCATGGGTTCTTTCATGAATGACAAGGTGAGAACTCCGAGAGAAACTTTTCCCACACTCAGCACACTTATAGGGCCTCTCTCCTGTGTGGATCCTCTGGTGTCGAAGAAGGTTGGAGCTATGAGAAAAGATCTCCCCACACTCAGAGCACTTGTAGGGTTTCTCCCCAGTGTGTGTCCTCTGGTGCCTATGGAGGTTGGAGTTGCAAGAGAAGCTTTTTCCACATACATTGCATTGATAGGGCTTCTCACCTGTGTGGGTGCGCTGATGGCGAGTCAGATGGGTATTCTGACTGAAGCATTTCCCACATTCTAGGCACTTATGGGCCTCCTCACCCAGATGTGCTCTATGCAGTGAAAGAAAATGTGGGTGTCCACTAAAGATTTCACTGCACTCCACATCCATACACAGTCTTTCTGCTGCATGTATTCTCTGATGTCTAATTAGGTTTGAGTTGTTAGAGAAGTTCTTGCCACACAGGGGACATAAATGAAGTTTTTTTGGCTGCAGTTCCTTTGGTGGCCCCAGTTCTCTGCAACTTGTGGCTCCTGCTAAGGACTGCTCCATTTGATCTTCGGGAGGAGGTTCCCAATGCCCTTCTGCCCTGTCACGAGGCCGGCCCTGTTCAGGACTCCAGGGCACCTCCCCTCTGTCGTGGCCAGGGAGCAGCACCTGGGAGTGAGTGTTCTCAGGGGAAATAGACTGAATATTTCCTTCTTGGTTGTCAAATTTCTCCTCCCCTGGTAAAGAAAAAAGCCAAATCTTTATATTATTTGTACCCTGGAAGTATCCACATCTCTAAAATGCCAATCAGGTCAGAGGTCCCAAAGGGGCCTCAGTTTTCTATTCTTTTCCTAGGTATAAACTACCCCATAGAGGCATCTGAACAAGGGGTGGGGCTACCGTTTAAGGAATGAGAGTTCACAAGCTGTGTGTAGTGTGTGGCTCACCCCTGCTACTCAAGAGGCTGAGGCAGGATAGTTGTCTCAAACCAATCTATACTACAGTACACAGTGAGACTGTGTCAGAAAGAAAAAAAGGAGAGAGACAAAAAAAGGGAGAAAAAAAATCAAAGCTCAGAGCATTTGGAAAGTCCTTTCTTAGGTCTCAACAAACCTTTCCAATTAGGCCCCTGGCTGATGCCCTTTAGCAATGGATGAGATGTAACAGGGATGAGACCAGGATGGGACAAGTGAACTCAAGAGTGAGTTTGGTTTCTGGATTCCACAGAAGGAAATGTTCAATGTTCCCCAAAGTTTGTATTCTGGGTTCCACAGGTGCCTCACTGGGGTGGAAAGTAGTCAGTTGAGAAACCAGAAGCAATGTGCTACCATAGAACAGTAGTAACCTGTCCTTACACTCAAACCCTTAAATGTCTTATGTGACACCTTACTGAGGAAATACTTTTTTATTCCTTACCTGGAGCTGGGCTCCTGGGGCTCCTGTCCTCCTTACAACTCTGGATATTGGGATCCCATGGTTTTTCTCCTTGTTCCACCTGGGTGCTTAAGGCCTCCTGACTAGGAATGTGAGGCCCTGTTGAAAATGATGAAAGAAACACATTGCTGTGTCAGCACTCTCCTCTAGTAGGCAGAAGAAACAAAGATAGTCTTAATCCCAACCCTCAACAGGTAAGACACAGAATGCTCTGCTAAGTCTGGCAACAATTACTGGGAATATACATTAAACTATTCCCAGTATTTACATCTAGAAAATAAAGTCAAGGGAGAGAGACTATGGAGTTTAAAAAAAAATTTTTTTTTCAAAGTATTTAGTGACTGCAGTGTCTTTGGCCTGGTCTGCCCCAAGGACATCCCCTGGGCTCCTGCTGTTGGCTTCTCAGTCTGCCTGACACAGACATTGTATTCTCCTCGTCTGATATGCTGCACCCCTCAGCTGTCATTGACTGCACATTTACAAAGAGCTGTTAGCAGGTTGGGAGAAAAAAAGAGACACAGCTGTAACCACAGCAGAGGACCACGCTGGGTCCTCTCCTGTTCATCCTGGCTGGGCAAGCTGCTCTAGGTGGCCTTTCACACCTTCACCAGAAAGCTATCTTTTTTGCAATAAGAGCTTATTTTTTGTAATTAAAACAAAGCTGATAAGAATGGTCAGTTCATTGATGAATTACTTTAATATGCTAAAACAGCCTTGATTCTTACATATAAATGTAAAACAGAGCAAGATTTGACTGAGAACTGTAGCAGGAGAAAACATCAATGGACAATTTTAAAAAAAGACCATGAACTCTGTTAGGACTATGACCTTAAAACCTAAATATGCCATTTCTATGTATGCGGGGGGGGGGGGGCCCCTCACTCCACCTTCAGCAAACATAGACTAAAACATATATTCAGTTTCATAAAATTATAATCTGATCTTTCCTTCCTTGTTAGCAAGTTGAACAATCACTTTGTTCAACTTTGTACAACTCAACAGTGGAAAACCTGGAGTGGTCCCAATAAGGGAAACAAAAATAACAGTAATCTGTTAACAGAATTAGTACAAATGAGTTTATAGCAGTAATTCTCTTTACACAAACCTGATGAAGGAAAACAAAGTGGTGTGATTTTTTCTGCCATTTGTGCATCAACATAGCCAGTCATAATGTATACAATGTCTTAGGACTCTCCCCTTCCCTTTTTAAATGATATTTTTCACACATACAATCTAGGGCACTATTTAATAAATGCCTGCATACCCTCCACCTAAATTCAATGGCAGATATTTAACTGACCCTAGTATAGGAACTTTAAATAGGCTTAACAAAACTCAAGTCTGGTAACTTGAGACAGGTATCTAAGAGACAGGATCTTTGTCAGAAATATTACTGTCAAAATCACCCTAGAAAAGAAGTCTTACCCAGTGAGTCCACAGTCTCATAACTCTCTTGTACTGTGTCCCTGGAGAGGGTTCTCTTACTAGGATCCTGATGCCCCCACTCCTCGTGGGAGATGTACATTGCCATGTCCTCTAAGCTCTCAGGCAACTGAAACAGCAAAAGATCTCCTTTAGCCACAGATGCACCAAGAATAATTCAAGCAGAGTTGCACGAAAGAGAAGAAAAAGCCCAGGGGTACCAAGGACATATGTCACAGGAAAAAATGATCCCAGATCTACAAATGATGGAGACCAATAAGGAGGAAGGGGACATTTGGTTGGGGAAAAGGATCCTCGAAGTGCCACAACTGCCCCAACCCATCCCAAAAGGAAGCCTCCAGGGGAGGAAGCAGTGTCCTGGCAGGGGGAGATAATGGGACCCTCCACATCACCTGGGACCCAGTCATTTCCTTGTCTTCCATATTCCCTTCAGGAGGAAAGAGAGAAAGCCAGGGAGCAGATAACGCTGAAGGTGACAGAAATCATAATGAGAATGGCATTCCTAAGTCTTGGTAACCCATAAATTATTACAACACAGTATACATTTCCCAAAACCCCATTTCTGCTTTTAAGATTGACACTAAACAAAAACCAGTAACAGGCAGAACAAGTAATACCAAAATGATGGGGTCAGAGTAAAGCAATGGGAGCGTCTTCCACAGGAGTTAGCAACACTCCAAACCCCTCCTAGTTCACCTTGCTCTAAATCTTCTTTTCTGCATACAAATAGATCTCTCCCACTAGGAGAGGGTCCTTCTTTGCATATCTTAGCAGAACCCACACCACATGTAGGACTTTCAGGCAACATCTGAAAACTTCAACTTTGAGGAATTCCTTTCCTTAGTATTGGGGCAACCCCAAAGCCCCTCCTCCCTCCCACCTGCCCAGATAACTGTTCCTCACCCCTGTCCTTTACAGCCTGGGGGTCCCTTTGGGGGCTGGGGCCTAGCAGCTCCTGCAGCCTGGGGCCAGGGCTTCGCTCAGTCTCCACAGGCTCCAGCTTGAAGCTCGGTGACTCTCCTGCTGTTTCCAGAGGCAAAGGCTCCTCCAAAAGCACTTCTGTTCCCCGCCCTTGGTTTGTGACCTGAGGACCAACCCATATCACTTATCATCACAATGGGGCCAATAGAAAGGGTAATTAGTAAAGGATTCCAAGAGCAAGCCTTCAACAGAAAAACCACAAGAGATTCTTTTGAGCAAGAAAAAGACGGTTTATGCTAAAGACTTTTATGCCTGTGTGGTGTCCGAAAAAATGGGGGAGAATGGTTAGGGAGGAGTCCATTCCCAATGCACATCTTCCCAACACATTCTTTTAATATACCTTACTGTCGTTTTCTCTCATCTTTCTCCATATGCTTCTGCTCCTCACTACCAAATAAATTAAGTCTTTGCTGGCTCTACGAGAGCCAGTGTTTTTCAAAATTTAGCCAAGATCTAGCTCCACAGAAGAAACTACACTGCTGACCTTAACGTAAAAAGAACAGATAGCAAGTATAATTATCAACCAGTAGAATCATCAAAACTTTACGTGCTGTTCTTCTAACCCTCAAAATAGACCCCCAAAAGTACTTTCTTATCTTTATTGTACTGGTAGGAAAACTGAGGCCCAAGAAGAGGAAATAACTTGCCCAAAGTCACAAGGGTAGTAAGCGATAGTGCGATCTTTTGAATGCTGACTTAAATCCAGAGTGCACAACTATTGACTGAAGCACCGGTTCCACGTGGAAACAGGCTACTCACTATTCACTGATCACTGTTCATAAGTGGGAAATCTGGAGTGTGAATGTTCCACATTTAGCCATAAAAAGCCCTCTTCCTCATATAAGATCTACTTAGCGTAACCAAGTAAACTGTACTGGGAAAACTAGACCAGTATCATGCCCCAAACCTCGAGGCCAAACAGCGACAACACTGAGTTCTTTCACCCACCTGTTGTCTCAGTCTCCCAAGCTCTCTCTGCATATCCTCCACAAGGGTCACTGCTTCTTCACCGCTCTCCGGATGTAGTTCCTGCACCCTGCTCTGGATCTCTTGGGGCAGGATCGTCAAAAACTGCTCCAGCACCAGCAGCTCCAGGATCTGCTCTTTGGTGCGCATCTCGGGCCGTAGCCACCCATGGCAAAGCTCCTGGAGGCGGCAGAGGGCCTCCCGGGGACCAGCGGCCTCTTGGAAGCGGAACCTTCTGAAGCGCAGATGGGAGGCCTCGGGGCTGGGCCCAGGGTCAGGGGTAGGTAGCTCCTGGGCCCAGGCGCAGTCCTCCTCGAGTTTCACTATAAGGAGACCTTCCCGTTCCTGAGAGCCCGGGAATGCCGCCATCGCCATACCAAAGAGCGCCTTGGCCCGGAAACCAGCTGCGCCCTTCTTAGAAGGCGCCCCGGACTTCCTGCAAGGATGGACGGCTTCAGCCGGAGCCAAGTGGTCCAGAGTTCTAAATCCTGGAGGAAGACCCTAGCTCAGAGCTCTGGCCTCCGCCGGCCCCCACTGCCGAGACGTATTCCCGGGTCTCGGACCCTCGCAGACTCAACCCTTACCTCCAAGGCCGGAAGTTTCGGCGCACAGGTTAGGCGTCACGAGCCAGCACCGCCCGCGCCCGGTCACGCCTCGCGGACTCTCCTGCTCATTGGATCTCGTCTCACCAAACGCACCTCGGACAAACCAGGGGGCAGTTTTCCTGCGGAGGCGGGACAAGGCAGAGACCAATTGGAGTCAAAAGGCCCTGGGTTATTGGACAAGTTCTGCGCCCTCCTGGGGAACGCGACAGCCAGGTGCAAGAGGGAAAGGAAGCAGCAGGTGTAGAGTGGTGGCCGGCCTGAGTCAGATTTCCCCAGCAAAATCAGTCACAATGAGCTACGCTTGATATAAAGTCAAGCTACATCAGTGTCTGAGCGAGGTACAAAAATCTGAATTGTTGGGGCTGGAGAGATGGCTCAGTGGTCTAAGGCACCTACTTGGAACAAGCTTGGCAAAGCA